ATCAAGCGAAAAACGACCAACTCCCGCCAAACGGTCATCTCCCGCTAAAACCAATGAAGCGTAGAGAGGGAAGAGGGGATAGGTGAAAGCACTCGAATGACCTATAAATAGTCAAAAAATTTTCTTCAGGGATGTTAAATCAATTTATATTATATTAGACAATAGAAGTCCAAACTGATGAAATACAACCATTTCGAAGTTATAATAATCTCGTTCTCCCGTTCCAATCTATAAATTCAGTTCACTTAATACCGATGAAAATTCATATTACTCTCAACGTTATATAGAAATATAGCGTCTACGCGGTACTTTTAAAACATTACCAAGTTAATCAAAGTTATCAATTCACAAAATTGATATGCCGGTTTGTTCAATAATTGCGCAGCCATCAGTAATACCGACTCCCTAGAGAATTCAAAAACACTCGTCCAGATTGTAATGAAAATTAATGTTTGTCAAAATTATACCGATTCGCCGATTGAATTGCAGAATCAGAAATATCGAGAGGGGAATTTAATATCTCTTAGATTTAAGTTTGTACACACAGCGGCGTCGCTTTGGGAGCGAATAGAAAAACTATGTTTTTTTCCTGTGGGAGAAATAAATGAACTGTTATTTCCGAAGAACATCTCAAATTTTACCCGAACAAACTTCAAATGCAGGAGAATGGCACCGAGAAAACGGCACTACAGTGCCGAGCGATCAATGATGACGTAATTAACTACTCACTCGACTACACGTGACGTGGCACATGTAGCAAAATTGGTGTCGAACTACTATATGCAGCTGAACTATGTATGTTGAGGTACTTGAGTACTCATTTACACGTGACACACGAAACAAAATGAGACTGAGGTTTGTATTATCTAGAAACTACTGAACTCTCCGAACTTTGTATGGTGGGGTGATTGAGTACTGGATGATTTGATAATAGATGATTCCGGCAAGGAAATCTCATGATCTTATTATTACACATTAGAATTTCGATTATATCCCTCTTGAAACTGTGACGCCCCTGAGAGTATTTGCTAACTCTGTGATGCGATTCAGTCGAACATCGTGATGGCGGCCATATTTAAATTGAATTTTCTTGAAACGTTTACAGAGAGAGTCTATTCCCGATTGAAGAATGAATTATTAAAAAAATACGCCTTTTTGAATTCGATTTTTTTATTTTGTGTGACTTTCATAGTCTAACTGATAGCAATTGATATTACTGATACAGTAATGCATTGTTTCAAATTTGCGCCGATATTAAAAAAATAATTAGTAAGAGTAATTTGTTTTTTGTTTTTTCACTANTTTTGCGAATAAAATCCCAGTGTGTGAGTTGAATTCATGTTTGAAATAGAATTTTAGTGGAATGTATTTATTTTGTCCTTCAAAAATTAATACTTAACATTCATTTTCATTAATACAATTTTTTATAAAATAAATTTATTTGCTACCTCACAAAACTTTCACATTTCTGATATGTCAATTCGTTAATTCGGAATATAATTGATTAGTACATTAAATTTAAAATTGAATTTCATAACCGAAATTATTTATCGGAATTTACGGCCTCCACGTCAATAGCGCTACAACTGCTGTCCGTATTCTCCGCATTCTCCGGCACCATTTCGTTATTCTTATTATCATTATCCGCCATTTCTTCGGCGTGACACAATTTCCTGTGCTTGTGCACGAAGTAGTAGCTGGGGAATTTGCTCCCGCACGTTTTGCACGGGTAGTATTGCACGTTCATATCGAGCAGCTTCACTTCTCTCTTGGCCTCCTTCGGCACTCCTTTGGCCTCCAAGTTGACAGGATTCAGGTGCCGGCGAGCGTGTTTCTGGTAGCAGTATTTCGACTTGAACGTGTGGTTGCAATACAGGCACGTGAACAGTTCGCTGTTTTGATTTTCGTTCTCGTCGACGAGCTGATCGCGAATATTCTCGTTCATGACTTTGTTGAGCACGGCGTTCCTGTTGATCTCCTCTCGCTGGCAATTGTCCGAAGCGGGCGGTGGCACGCCGTAGTTTTTGTTGATGACCCTGTGGAATTTGACGGGACCGTCGCAGCAGGCTATGTCGATTATGACTTTCTCGTTGCCATGGTTCGTCCGTTTTCGATGTTTCTGTTTTTCCCCGGTCGACGTTTTCTTCTGCGCGGCGATTTGTTTTTCATCGGTCTCCATCGCTTCGGCTTTGGACGTGGATGCTTGTTGGGGGGCCGCTACGACTTTGAAGGGGGTGTCTTCTGATTTGCGTAAGAGGCTGAATGTCGGCGGGAATATTTCTTGAGAAGGCAGAGGCGCCTTTTTACTCGGTATGGGTTTTATTATGTTGGTGCTGCGAATTTCTGGAGCTTGGGTGTGAATCAGGAAAGACCTGCATATTTCGAGCGCTCTGGGCATGTGGAGGATGTGCGTCGCCAGGAGGATGTTGTAGATGTTTGACAGGTTCAGGTCGAGGTAACCGGTGTACATAAAGGTCAGGAGAGAAGAGAATTCGTCCACATTGACGTTCGGTACTGATATGGCTGTCGAACCTGAGAAAGAGATATGCTGGTTAGAGAATAATGCATCAGCCGCTAAGTCATTGCTTTTGATGTTGAAAAACTTAGTAATGATTCTCTGAACGAATTGAAACTTTCGAAATCAAATGTGTTATTTCAGCAGTCTAAAAAATTATCGAATTTCAAAATGAATGTATGATACAATGATGATAAATCCCCTCATAAGGGGATTTATCACTCATCAGGGGCTATATTCCCTAGTCGGGGGGCCAACATCCCCTCATCGGGGTGGGGGGCTATATCACCTCATCAGGGGCGGGGGGCTATATCACCTCATCAGGGGCGTATATCCCCTCATCAGGGGCGTATATCCCTCATCACAGGCCTATTTCCCCTCGTCAGGGGCCTATATTCCCTCGTCAGGGGCCCACATTCCCTCATCAGGGGCCCATATTCCCTCATCAGGAGCCCATATTCTCTCATCAGGGGCCATATTCCCTCATCAGGGGCCTATATCTCCTCATTTGGGGCCTTATTTTAAAATTTTACTACTATCACTAGGAGTGAGCATGATGTAATTTTTTTCTCAGAATTATGTGTACTTTGTTTTCAAGAATGATGAAACAGTAAGTTTAGTTCCGCGTTAATAATAGCTAATATTGAAATAAACAATATTTGGTATCGAATGGAATATGAACATGAAAGAGAAATATCATTATTTTTGAAATCAAAAAATGATTTTTAAATAACAAAATCAAAATTACACTAATAAAATTAATATTTTGTAACCTCGAATATGAAAATAGAATAGTTTATTGCAAACACACGAAATCTTGTAACGGTGTTTTTCCAAAAATCAAGTTTTTAAATTGTTTTTCATTTGTGGAATCATCCAATAAAAATTCATTTTCAGAATACCGTTTCTTTGAATTTAGTTCTTATGATGTTTCTTTTAGATTGGTGAAGGTTCATAAATTTGCCCCAAAATTCACAGAATGAAATTCATACAGTATGTCGTGTATTATAATGAAAATTTGAATAAAATAGATTTTTCTGAAAAGTTTTGAATTCCTACAGTTCCTGGTTCGTGTGACAGTTACGATGTATGTGGTTTGCTTCTAAAAATCATTCAACCTATATACATCCGAGTATTATTATCTCTATAGTTTGAAAGAGTTTAAAAACGTCGGATTCCGGGTAGACCTGTTGGTTCTTTTTATTGATACCCTAAACACATATTACTTCTCTATAGTATCATCTGAGACATACCAATAGAGTTTGTGTAAGCCTTTTTAATATCACCGATATCAGTTCAATCCCTGTCATTCAGTTTCAAATTGTTCTGTATATCTCTGAAAACTATTTACCTGTATGATTTCCCAAGNTTTAAATAATTAAAAACTGATATTTTCGCTTCAGTTGAAATGAAGTAAAACCTCGTTTCAAACTACACTCTTTGCTATATTTGTTATATAAAGCAGGGGTGATTATTCAGCTGTAAAACAGAACTTACTTCATGCTCTATTTCGTTATAAATGAAAAAAAAATTGAAGATACAATTTCAAATAGTTTTTATGGAAAACTGCGTCTAGTTTTAGAACGAATAAATATTTTTTGAACATACAATGAGGATATTTTTACTGGTATTTCCATAATATATTATGAAGCACACTTTGGCCTGTGTGATGTCATATAATTAACGATGAATGAAACTTATGATGACTGTGATAATTACCAAGTTGCGACAGTTAATTATTTGTAGCAGCACGTTACAACTGGAGAAAAAATTCAAAGAAGGAAAAAACGACGGAAAATTTCAATTAAGGAAAACTTTTTGTGCTGAATTTCTCTCAAAATAGATATAGTTGAATTTGCTGTATAATTTATGCAATATTCATGAGGTCATTGTGATTTTTTAGGTTACTTTTCGATGAATTCCAAACAGTACTTTTATTCAGACATTTTGGTACATACCTAGGTTCACTTTCAACAATATATTTATAGATTTTCAATGTATTTTCTTTTATTTCAAGGAAAATTAATCTGTATATGAATATTATTGACGAAGATCAAACTTATACATTGTTTCGTTCCACTTTCAGGCGTAACAACTCGACTTCAAAGAGAACAACAGGCTAAAACGGGAAATCAACAGTCTCGAGATCCGAATCAGCCGTTGGAACATCCGACGTCGACGACACCGCCAGCAACATCCGCACCCACTCCCAGCACCGCAGTGTCTGTCGACAGCCCTCCGTCGACCGTTACGACGACTACCACCACCACGTCCACGTCAAGCCCGGCGACGACAACCTCCGTACTGCCGTCTACGCCGCCACCGTCGGCCGTTTCAACGTCAGATAAAACCGTGGTCGGTGGTTCGATGACACCGACAGTTTCTGGAGTGACTACTACCCCGACAACCGCGATATCGAACTGTATATCTTCTTCTAGTACATCTGTGATTACGACTAGCAGTAGTGGCGCGATCGTGACGGCGTCCACGGCGACGACGACGCCGTCCGTCGTCGTTTCGGCGTCCGTGACCGTGACGACGATGAACGATAAAGAATCGACTCCGATGGAGGTGGACACAGTTACGGAAGACGTGAAACCGAAGACTTTTTTGGGGTTTGGTTCGATGGACGAGTACATGGCGAAGAGCAGTTACTTCGAAGAGGTCGGCGGTTGCGGAACCGGCAGCGGTAAAGACGGCGCGGCTGTAATTTTGGACGGGCAGAAGCAGAAGAGCGTTGTGGTGGACGGAACTACGAGCCTGAAGATGGAGGTCGAATCAGCCCAGGAAATCATCAGGTTAGTTGAAAAATTTGATAGTCGTAAAGTATTGGATGGAATAATGTAGTTTTTTTACCAACGGGATGGAGTAATTTTCAAGAAATTGATGTGGCTTGACGCCGGGGCCTCAATCTGCCAACTCCCTAGGTCTCGTCACGGGTTCTCTCTGAGGTCTCAATCTGTCTATTCCTTATATTGAACAGAGGTATCGAAGGGAGTAGGTAGGTAGGTAGGTAGGTAGGTCTAAAGTGAGTGGGTCTATTCGACCCTCCACCGCAACCCATAAGGGTTTATTGTGGCTCACACTTATTCACACTCGGCCAAATAAACCCAGCTTCTTAACGAAGCCGATTTGTTTGTATGGTGAGTGGTCTCTCAGGTCAAATGGTGTACATGCAAAGTATATGCTCTGTGACCTGTAAGAAGGTCTGATAGACATCGTAGTTCATCCCTACTGTAGTCCAACCACTGTTTGGAATCAAGCTTCGAATGGTGAATAAATGCCTTGGAGTGAGCCAGAATCTTCCAGGATTGTTGCCATCCAGGTGTTAAGTGTTTGTTTGCAAAGGAGAGGGTGCTTGCAGCACCCTCCTTTGCAAGAGAGTCAGCGGCAGCTTCATTACCTTTCAGGCCAGTATGGCCAGGAATCCAGACCAGAGACAATCTGGATCTCCATGGCCGCTGGTGGTGAGGTACTGATGGCACTACTGATAGCCAGCAAAGCTGCAAAGCCTGCAAAGCTTTCGGCCACCAGACAGTTGCACCATACGTGATCATTGGTCTGACAATCATCACATAAATCCAAAGGATTTGTTTTGGACCTAAACCCAAAGTTTTACCACAAATCCTTCGACATGTCCATAGAGACAGTCTGGCTTTGTGCAAAACTGTTTCCAAGTGAGCGTTCCAGGTTCCAAATGGAATGACCACACCATTGAGGGAAAGTGGCGTCAGATCGTCCAATTTCCTTCTCTTGTTGAAGGGGATTATCACAGTTTTGCTGGGGTTGACAGACATCTGCTCCCTCAGGCACCAACTGTGAACAACGTCCAACGCGCTTTGGAGGATATTACAAGCTACCCTTCCCGACGTGGACCTTGCCAGGATGACAAGGTCATCTGCGTAAGCTTGCAGATCAACTTTTCTTCTGTCGAGGGCATCAAGCAGACTATCCACCAGGAGCGACCACAAAAGGGGATATAGTATCCCACCTTGAGGGCAGCTCCTGGCGACCCTGAACCTAATACTATATATGTACCACCCAGTTGTTTGGCAGCAAGGGTGGTATATATACCGAAAGTGGGCGGGAGAGACCCACACCCCAAATCGGTACGACCAATCAGCCTTACATCCTTCCTGCTGAAGGGACTTGAGAGGATACTGGACGGACATATCAGGAGGGTAGCATTATATGCATCCTCACTGAATAACCACCAGTATGCTTATCAAATCGGCAAATCGACAGACTCAGCGTCGAAGGGAGTTCGGTGGTATTTATATCGGCGGGTGCTTCTAAAGTGGAAATGTGGGGCGGGGCTTCGGGAGATTGCCATTACCGGACGTGTTGGTTGGGGATGAGCATCGGGGGGGAAATTCCAGGTAGTTGCAAGTCTCTGACCGTCATACAGTTACTTGCGACGAATCTTCCAACTAGAAGACGTTGTTCATTATTCTGACCACGGGAATATGTTTATTATTCTGACTATATTCCGGAGAGGTGCATATGACATGCTCAAGTTCAGGTGAAAAACACCTTACCCCTTGCCTCTCACGAGAACCTACGACTTAGTAGGTACTACTGAATCAACCGCAGATTAAGCTTATGACTAATTGTAATTAATTTTGTTTGTTCGGGATATTCAAAAAAAAAAATAGCAATAGTTTACACTCGTCGAGGAAATGAATAGATTATACGCACCTTCAGAGCTGATCCTTTTTTGGTTTTTTCGTGTTTATTCAACAAAAAAATCAAATTTTCTCATATTATGTTTTGGTATGGAGTAGCCGAAGGATTTTTCTCCTGATGACAAAGACAGATTTTCGTCTTCCAAACGTAGAGATTGTGGGAGATGAAATTGAAAAAAATCAACAATTTTCTTTTCTCCACAGCAAATGAAATTACTGCAATCAGTTTTCATTCTGTAACTTGAAATAGAAATACTATCTATTTGAAATTTGAAAACTTTCTACAGATTTTTATGAGTAACAAGCGATTTTTAGCCAGTTGCTCTCTGCGAATTCAAATTGAACCAAAGCACTACCGAAACATCACTTTCACAATGGAGAAGGAAGTTCTTAGACGTATTGGTGAAGAGGACCGACACTTAATGGGAAACATCTGTATATCGAAAACCCACTCACATAGGACAGTATCTGAACCAGAAATCCAACCACCGTCAATCGACTAAGAGAGGAATCATCAAGACTCTACTGGACCGTGCTTTTGGGCTCTGTAATACAAAGGAAGGTCTCGAAAAGGAACTAGGCATCATCAAAAATGACTATTCAACGGAATGGTTACTCCAGAGTGACGGTAGAACAGGCTTTAGTTACCAGTGGATC